TAAGTATTGTTGTGATGTTTGACATTTATAGTCGAATAATTCGCGTATTGTCAATTTTGCTGAAGTTGACAGCTCCCTCAGAAGAGTGTTGTCACAGTAGTTGTTGATGACCAGCATGTAGTGGCCTTTGACCTCAACAACACATGTTAGTTGAGGACTATAACTAATATGCTGCGCATATAACGCTGTCTATATTGATCACAATCAAACCGAGTACGGTCGTCGCTCTCTCACAGGAGATTCTGAGCAAGAGCGTAACAAGGTGTGCACATATCGATATCGACATAAGCGACTTCACTTCCTGTCTGGATAACTGGTGTATTTTGACTGTGGCATCCTTTTTAATCACTTTGCGCACAGATCGTCTACAATGTGACCGGTGATTCCTAACGGTTGCGAAATGTATCCTATCTGGTGAACGTTAAATAATATGAGATATTGGTCCGAGGTGCTTAGAAATGAAACAACGAAAGAAGACTCAGCATAAGAGGAAGGCATACAGTTTTATGAAGCAACAGTGTTTGATGTACAAGTTTGTTTGGTTTGCCGTTACAAAACGTTTTACTCCGCCTTACTAGCAAGCAGCTGCGTTTACAGAGTTAATCGGCTTTCCCAAAGAGAAGAATCGATTGTCAAGGGGTACCAATTTAAACAAGTGACATGAAGATCCCACCGTATTGCCAGACGAGTTGAACCCTGTTTCTCATAGCAATGCATTCGTTCGCTCAATATATTTTATTCAAACTCAAAACGCAGTGGAACACATCTTCAAGATCGTTGCGTCTGGAAATGTGCAATACATCATCAATACAGACACAGCCTACTAGCGCCGAGGGAAATATAATTTCAGCTAGGTTACGCCACATTCCGAATGCAGGCAACTAGTCACTCCACTTCTATATGACGAAAATGACTGCACGGAGTTTTAAACAGTTAGTTCCCTTCAGTAGTTTGAACAACGAAATGAGAAGACGAATATGGGCACATGATAGCATTTCGCATTATCTTGTAAGTAACAATACGATAACATGGAATTATTTTTATGGATTAGAGAGGAGTAGTAGGGGGAGTTGAATGGCATCGGTAGAAATTCGTCACATCCAGACTCAGTCAGACAGCCGTCCCACGCCACGAAAAGCTCCGTACGCGCGGTTCATTTTGTCGAGAATCGTCAGCAGTGCGGCGCTTAATCACATCTAGTAACTTATTCACGATGGTCGTTGCTGTCCTACGTAGCTCAGTGGTCTCAACCACGGACTGGCAACAGTCGAGTTGCAGGTTCGAGCCCAACCAGGGTCCGATGGAATGCGAACAGCTGACGATTCCCGAAAGGAGGAAACGCGCATACAGTGCTTTTCCGAGCGTGTGGCGGCTGTCAGATTGAGTCTAAATGGGACGAATTTCCACCGATACCTATTATAGGGCACAGTCAAGCCAATCAAATTTATGCTTGTGGTCATTATTGTTGGGCTTAGGACCACGGCAACCGCACGTTGACAATTAATTGCTTTTGGACACACAAAGCTGGTCTAATTCGGCTTATCGCGACGGCCTCGACAAATCGTAGAAGGCGTGAATTAGTATGACGCAACAAGATCCGGAACGCGTGTAAGGGATGTACCCGGTGACGAGTCGCCAAGATGCACTTGCCTATGGAGGACGCTGGCGGCTTACATGAGCCCGTATCGTCGGAGGTGGATTGAGTAACTTCGCGCTGAACCCCGTTTGGCATGTGTTCCTTCACTCTGCAATCTAAAGCCCGTTCGGTACTGCCGATGTAACTGATGCCGCAGTCACACACGAATTGATAAACACAATGTGATTTAGCGCCGATGGGTTCATCTTCCTTTACTGAAGGTAACGGCAACTTTCGGGTTCTGTTGATAATTATCGCTTTGGCAGCACATTACGTACGCTGAATGTCCGAGACAATTTTTGGTTGTCCTTCTTGCTGCGGTGACACCCTTGAATGGTAGCTCGACGTACACCTTTTTCTTTGGGGGCTGTCAACACCATTTGTTTGGGTGGTCTAATCTGGCTATGTTTGTCTACGAATCGCCTTGGGTAGCCATTATCCATAAGCGTTTTAGTGATCAGCTCAAACTCCTCAGACAGTCAGTCGTCGGAGCACATACGTCTGGCCCGAGTGAATAATGTTTTTACCAGCGCGCTTGTGTGCCATCGGTGAGAAGCTGGTGAAGTGTAGGTATTGGCCGGACCACCTTGGCTGCCGGTATACAGATCGCTTAATCAGCCATTATCCATGTGCCTCAGACACGACCAAGGCAAAGCTAACAAATCCGATCGAGGCAAATACTCGCCTGATACCGGTTGTGGAGAGTCTGTTCCTATGCTGCCGTATTGTCGTCTCGATCGAACGAAAAATGCTTGCGGAATGCGCCTGCTGAAATCCCTGATGGGAGCAAATGACCAACCTGTTACACGTGATCTCGGTAACTACGTCTTGAATGTGTCAGATGTACAACTTCGTGATATGCAAATAGAAACACTAGCCTTGGGGATCGATTACAAAATTACTCCAAATAAGCTTAACCGATTGTTTGCTGAAGCACAGTTTGAGAATTTTTTCGCCCAAGTACCTAAACTTCAGTCAACCAGCCATGATGCTGTCAATTGGTTTAGAAATAAGCTGACCTACATTGCTGATGAAGTCCTCGTGGTGCTGGTAAACGAAAAGTGTGCACTTAAAAGTCGTCATTTAAAAGCGCTACGAGAGCTGCGAAATAAGGGGGTGGTTGTACTTAAACCGGACAAACGTTCAGGAGCAGTTGTCATGAACAAGAACGATCACGTACAAAAGATGCTAAACATTCTAAGTGACGAAAGTAAGTTTCAACGCACCGACCGGATAGAATGTCTGACAGAAGTAGAGGCCCGTATATTCCGACACCTTGAAACGCTTCAGCTACATCATGTAATTGACAAAACGACATGCAGTCACCTGAAGACGAGCGGTTCCTCGACTCCACATCTGTACGGGTTACCAAATCCCACATGCAGGGCATGCCACTAAGACCCATTTTGTCGGTGATAAATTCCCCGCAGCACAAATTGGCTCGCTGGTTAGTTTGGATCCTTGCGCCACTGACGCAGCACTTTAATTTGCACAGCATTAAAGACACTTTTGAAATAATCAGACCTAGAGCAAATCAGCCTAGCGGACAAGTTTATGTGCTTAGTAAACGCCCAGTCGTTATTTACTAATGTCCCTTTGCTACAGACTGTTGATTACATTTGCAACCTGATGGAAAAGGAGAATTTCCGTCTACCAATACCTTCAGACCTCTTGAGACAGTCCCTGTTACTTTGCAAATTCCGATTCCAGCACACCTCATATCGCCAAATTGATGGAGTGGCTATGGGTATTCCTTTGGGCCCAGTACTTGCTGATTCTTTAAGTTGATGCTTGAGAGGAACCTAAGTGGAGAGATTTCTCAGCTGCCATATTACAAACGATATGCAGATGATATCCTATTTTTAGGTTCCAAGAAGATGCAAATCGAACAATTATTGGAGCAACTTAATAATGTGCACGCCAACTTAAAGGTGACTTTCAATTCGAATCGAATGGGCGTCTTCCTAATCTCGACATTATCATGAGTCGCAGGGATAATGCGCTGATTAAGCGATCTGTATACCGGCAGCCAAGGTGGTCCGGCCAATACCTACACTTCACCAGCTTCCCACCGATGACACACAAGCGCGCTGGTAAAAACATTATTCACTCGGGCCAGACGTATCGGCTCCAACGACTGCTTGCCTGAGGAGTTTGAGCTGATCACTAAAACGCTAATGGAGAATGGCTAGCCAAAGCAATTCATAGACAAATATAACCAGTTTAGACCGCCCAAAAAATTGGTGTTGACAGCCCCAAAGAAAAGGTGTACGTCGAGCTACCATTCAAGTGCGACACCGCAGCAAGAAGGACAACCAAACGCATTGTCTCGGCCATTCGGCGCATGTACTGTGCTGCGGAGGCGGGTACTTATCAACAGGACCCGAAAGTTGCCGTTACCTTCAGTAAAGGAAGATGAACCCGTCGGCGACAAATCACATTGTGATTACCAACTCGCCTGTGACTGCGGCATCAGTTACATCGGCAGAACCGAACGGGCTTTAGATTCCAGAGTGAAGGAACACTTACCAAGCTGGGTTCAGCGCGAAGTTACTCCATCCACCTCCGAAGATACGTGCTTGCGTACGCCACCAGTGTCCTCCATAGGCAGGCACATCTTGGCGACCCGTCATCGGGTTAATCCCTTATCGGTGTTCTGCGTCTTGTTGCGTCATATTAATTCACACCTTTTGCGATTTGCCGAGGCCGTCGCGATAAGCCGAATTAGACCAGCTTTGTGTGTCCAAAAGCAATTAATTGTCAACGTGCGGTTGCCGTGGTCCTAAGCCCAACAATAATGACCACAAGCATAAATTTGATTGGCTTGACTGTGTCCTATAATACATATAAAAGGATTTCAATGTTATTTTATTGTTACTGACAAGATAATACGAAATGCTAGTGTCTGTCAACATTCGTCTTCTCATTTCGTTGTACGGAGTTTGACGTACACATGGTAAACCCCACTAATCTTCTTTAATCCTCATAATTTTCTTGGTCACAAAATAGCTACGTGCCTTTTGCACCTTTCATTGACAACTCGCTAGAATCCCGCTCAGAATGCTTAGCAAATTGGGAAGCTCGTAGTCATGATTCCCATTCTGTTAGTATTGGAGATCGTTTATCCCGATCCGAAGTATTCATTTAGCACAGGCATAACTTGTTTGTCTCGTCTACGCAGCAATACTAACTATCGAGGCACAGGAGTCGAGGATATCGCGATTGTAAACACCTGTGTCTATATTGCTGTTGCCGTTGACGAAGATGGTGAGAATTACGAGGAATGATGGTGAAGCTGACGATGCTAGTGGTGCTGACGAATATAGCGAGTCAAATCCACAATGACAGCAAGCTTTTAACTCACCCACACTTGAAACTGTATCACCTGCAGTAGAAAAATGAGGAATAACAGTTGATATAAACAAAGAGAAGAGCAATCATCGCAGACGTACACCACTTGCATCCAATTGGGGAATTAGTACCCTATCCGCTTATGTTGGAACCCGATGTGAAACCAGGATTGTAAATGTGAATTTCATGAGCCCAGGATTCAACCGGTTGCTATCAATGTGAGATCTTTACACGCCGTGGTATGCCAATTGAATAAAATTGTAGGTGTCAGGATATTCCTAATGGACAATGCGCTAAACTATTGTGCTACAATTTTGTATTTTTCGATGTGCGAAACATGCTGACATCACTGTTTTAAACCAGTAGACATTGGTGGTGCAGACTGAAGAGTCCTTCATCAGTACGGCTTGTTATAAGATGAGCGACACATTTGATGCGCATGTCATCTAGCCAACAGGAACGAGGAAAGAGTGATACTGATACTTCATTGTTTACTGCCCAGAGGAGAAAATACGTTTTAACATCATATTCAAAGGATTTATGGAGGTCGTTTACATCCGCAAGTTCGATAGATACAGCACTAGCCCCTACTCTATCGTAACAAGATGCTATTGGCTGACGACCGGTAAGAATGGAAATCGGATGAAAAACGGGAACAAATTTGAATAAATGAATGCCCATGCCCGCACACTATTATGTGATGCTACCCAACAATGTCATGTAAAGCTGGATACCATAGTACAAGTTGGTTTGGCCAAATTCTGTGGCCATTGAGGGTATTCGTGAATGCACAGCTTTCATATCCCCAAATCAACCTTGTTAGAAACAACAAACAGATGGCTCAGTATAAGCAATACAGCTAATTCTTGGCGAACGTCGCAGATTATTTGATATGCGAAGTGTGACGCGAAATAGAAATGTTCATAAAATAACTTCCAGATGAATGACGGGGTTGGAGAATGAGTCTCGAAAAACAACAAGTGAGTTTGGCAATTATAACTAACATAACAGAATTTCACAGAATTTTAATCAAAGTTGGCCACAAAGGCATGCACTAACTGTCACAGTCTATGATAAAGTCGAGGTAGACGATCAAAAGTTGTCACCATTTCTGAAAGATAGTTAAAGCACACCGACAACGGTGTTTGAAAAGTAATTCCGCGGTTAGTAAACCTGAAGTGAAAAGCAGTTCCTATGGTGGACTTGACATCAGTGGTGCACACTTAGTTTCACGTGATTGCTCAATAGGTGGGCTCTGATTGGGTATCACTCGGTAACTGCCAAGGTTAATAGTGTCAATTATTCTCTGATGCACCACTGTCACGTCACCATGCCTCCGTCAGTAGCGTCCACTAAACGCTAAGAGTATGTTTATTGTTCATTGTTAAGGAAGGTGAATCTGATATATGTAGTCCTTTGTTGACCGACATCGCGTGACCTCAATTCCAGTGAGCGCACGCCATTGCCAAGACTATCCGCCAAGTCAGGATAATCTGTTCAAGGTGGCCGAGTGGATAAGGATTAACCAGCTATGGAACTATGGCTGAGTCAAAGTTTATAGCCCTTTCGCAAGAAGCCCACATGTCCAGCACCAATGCTTGTAACCAACGAAAGTATTCTTGACTGTCTCGACAGACTGGAACTGCTCCGTCATTGTCACAATCTTCAAGGGAAACTCACGTTTGCAATGCGGAAATCATAGAGAGATCAGTCTGATTTCGATTGCCTCCAAATTGCTTGACTCTGTTATTCTCCACAGACTGACCGGCACTCGTGAAAGCCAGATTGGTGAAGAGCAAGCCGGAATTCGTCGAGATCGAGGCTGCATCAACCACATCTTCACATTGCGTCAAGTGTTGGAGCACCGCCATGTTTATTGGCAACCCACCGTCGTCGTGTTTCTTGACATAAAAGGTGCCTTCGACACAGTCGATCGACGTGCCCTTTGGTACTGTGCTGAGGAATGATGTGCCTGATAAATATGTTAGCATTATCAAACCGCTGTACGCGCATAATTCGGGCAGGATGAGGGTTTATGGCAAACTGTCGCCATCTTTCAGTATCACCAGCGGTGTGAGACAAGGATGCCCGCTGTCACCTTTCCTCTTTAACTTCGATATTGATAAAGTCATGGAAACAGCGTTTGCTGGACACGACCTACAAAGTGTGGATATATTTTCTGGGGAGCGAATTCTTGACTTAGAGTATAAGGACGATATTGCCCTAATCTGTGACAGCTCCCAAATATGCCAAACAGCACTGGACCGATTAGCACTGGCTGTCAATCGTTTTGGGCTATGCTTTGCTTCATCGAAATGCAAAGTACTTCTCCAAGATTGGCAGGGACCCAACCCTGCGCTAACGCTTGGTGGTGATCTGCTAGAAGTCGTTCAGGAATTCAAGTACCTGGGCAGCTATATTAGCACCCGTGGGATTGAAGATGAGGTTACGAACCGTATAGCAAAAGCTCGAGGTGCTTTTGCCGATCTCCGCCACCTGTGGCGCAGACGTGGCTTTACCCTCGCCCTGAAGGGCAGAGTTGATAACGCAGCCGCCCGTTCAACTCTCCTATATGGTTGTAAAATTTGGCCCATCAGGCCGACAGACATAAAGAGGCTCTTCATATTCGATCACCGCTGCCTTCGCAGCTTAGCTCATGTCTGGTGGGAGCACCGCGTAAGCAATGAGGATGTTCGGCGTCGCGTATTTGGTGCAGGAAGAGCAAGTGAACTACTCAGCACCATTATATCAAGCACCAGGCTCCGATGGTTGGGCCACGTCTTGCGCATGCCAGCACACCGACTTTCGCGACGTGCATCGTTTGTGCGTGGTGGGTGCGGTTGGAAGAGGAAGAGGGGAGATCAAGCGATGACTTGGGATAGAGAGATGAAAGCCCTCACTTCGAAGTTGGCGTCGGTTGATGCATCCCTACTGCCTGGCTGGGGTCCTAAGGACGATGAACACGTTTGGTTTGACACACTTGCTGATATGGCTTGGAGCCGGCCCCAATGGCGTTTGTGCTGTGAGTTCCTTTGTCCATCCCCCTCTTGCTTAGCATCCCCTCCAATCACAATCTCACTCGTTAGACATAATATGACTCTCTTTTTACGACACGATGGCCAGCTGTTAGCTCTCCAGAACGATGTCCATCTGTTACTGGGGACTCAGCCGGCGTGCGACTGTTTGTTTTTCTTTTCTTGTCTTTTGTATTGTGGAACAATAGCTAAGGTGCTTTCCACCTGCAGCTAACGTGCATAATGATGAATGATGAAAGTATCCCTAACAGCATAGTTCGTTTTGTTTGAATAAACCGTGGTCGTGTCCTTGAGAGAAGGTTCATCATCTCTGTTCTCCAAACCCTTAACTGTAGGCGGTCAGTGAGGCATATAAAGAACTGGACAATCGCTCTGGACGGTTAAGTATGAAACATCCGTGAGGTAGTGTTAATGTGCCTCGTCGCCGGTTATCTCTTTGATTATTCGTCATTCGTTGACACATTCAGCATTGAGTAAAGAATTCATTGAGAAGGATCTCACCAGATCATCCATACAAACCAAGAACAGGCTAATAGTTAGGTTCCTACGCAGGCCGTGGAATAGAACTGTAACTTCTATAAGAAAAACGGAAACCTCAATACTCAAACAAGGCTGTTCTCATACTAGTATAGCAAGCTGGTTCATTTTCCCGTTTTACTTACCGAGCATTTGAGTGGCATACAAGTCGTACACCAACAATAACAGAGCACAGAGAGGAGCGCGGAGGGATCCTTGCATACTGGCCCCAAGGCGGAGTTGATTCAGGCCGAATGTCTGCATTTGTAAAGTGGAAGATGGCGGAAATAAGCCAGTCAGAGACACAGACAAAAGGCGAATTAATAAGACCATCCGGGTTATTCTTACATTAATTACGCACGAGGGAATAATTGGAGTAAACTGGTTACCTAAGCAGACTGCAGTTTAGACATGCACATATTTAGTGGTGCGAGAAATAAGACTGTCATTTAAGGGAACAGCTAGGGAAGTCCAGCTCTAGCTGTTCTCCCGCCCTGCGAAATATTCTCGTGCGTTAAACTTGTCGTTAGATCATAAGAAAATGGAGGAAAGCATGTGACAAAACTCCCCACAAATAAGTCACCATTGTGGTAGAGCAAAACACATGTGCGCAGTGCATATTTGCTTTTGTGATTGCATCGAAATTTCTCATTTTCACCGATAAGGTCAAACTACGTTGTACTGTCGATAGCTAAGATCGTAAGCTTTCAATGGTCTGAGAAGGAGCAACCTCTGTTTAATGCAGATGAATAAAATGACATGACACGAACTAAATTGCACCCACCAGCTTTACAAAGATCAGATTTCCACATGTGTAGATACAAGTGCTCTGCTCATTCCAAGGATGCATCGTCTATCTTGCGGCTAAACTTAATTTTTGTATGTATGAATCGCACCAAAATCATTCCACAAGAGTTGCCAAGCTTTCGCGCAATTTATTTACACAAAAAACCATCGCTTTCTTGTTTTCAGCCTGTGCATTTCACCACATCTGTTAGCGTGACATTGCCAATGTAGTCGTCCAACCAAATCCAAACGACGTCTTCAATTAATAGTCACTCTCAGTATGTCACAGTATGATACCCGGGCAGTGTAGGTCTGCAAAAAATCTCTTCACGAGTTCACTGCGAAATTCCGCCTGTTTGAGGTCTCTATTCATTTGTAGCTGTATGAGAGGAAAGCCGATGGATGCAGCTGGCACAACAGTCTGAAGTACGATTTCAGCCTCCTAAGGCCTACGGGGAAGGTTATGAAAGCGAATTCAGGTAAAATGATGCACAACAACACATTAATGGGCCGTGCTCCGCAACCACAGTGTAATGTCTGTTACTGCATCGGTGTACCACATCAGTAACCACCGGAGGTGCCTATCTGATTAACTACCTCCACGGCTATCTAAAAGATGGTGGCTGAATTAAAAAAGCTGCTACGTCATAAGTCTTCAGAGTGCACCATGACTATCGGTCAAACCTATAAAACCCACTTTGAAGGCATTTCTGGGTATAATCTGTAGTGTGAAATGTTTAACCAAGGATGACAAGTTCCAATGCCTTATCAAGCATTAGAATTCAACCTTGCATTGTAGAGGTTAGTGTCTGAGTTGATTAGTGGTCTTGAATACTGATTTCTTGGTGAACTGGAAGCGGTCCCATACAGTATTGGAAACGAACTTCATATTGATGAAACTACCAAGCAGTTTGCTAGTACGATTGAACAGCAGGCGACACTAAAATGGAGCACCTCGCGAAGTAGAGTGAGTGCTCCGAGGCCATTCCTAGAAATAATCGGAAATCAGTTGAGGGCCCCACGTAGACCTGACACGCATTACCGATATGAGGCGCATTTAAATTGCTAGCTAAGTGGCAAGATGCGATACAGCAAACTCCCAGCAGCGGAATATGAATGCCATGGAAGGCATCGTGTGCCAGTATAAACGTGATAAAACTAGAAGTTATGACTGGAACAGGGGGAATACCTTGCGCACTCATGTCAAAATTACCACGTAAAATATTTGGGTATCTTGGTCTTTCGATCAAGAGGACCGTACGTGATGCAAATAGAAATTGGGTGTTGCCCGCCGAAAACACTGCACTCTTATGATGCGTTTCGGCGTTGTTACATCTCATCAGATAGAGTTAGCAGGCATCAAACCGGGGACCATTGGGATGACACTTGTACTTCAAAATGACCCTCAAAATCCATCATTATACCTTTGTGCCAAGCATTGCCCGTCGTGACCGGTGGCTTACAGGTAGCGATCACAACTAACATCCCAATGGTCCCGGGTTCGGATGAGATGTAATGACATCGAAACGCATCATGGGAGTGCAGTGTTTTCGGACGGGCAACACCCAATTTCTATGTACCTGGGGACCTGTTTGCATAGGATACAGCAAAACACGGGTCAGCCTACGGAACTCATGTTTATCGGGAACCCAACTATCAGTCAGACATTTACACATTTGCATTGGAGAATTAATAGTAAGAATACGTATATTGCTCCTGTTGCGAGAAACTGTGTCTATAACGGCACAAATCAATTTATACATAAGTATCCATGTTCTTGCATGGACGATATGCATAAGTGGAATATTGGGGCATGCGTTAAATGAAATAGCGATTTGGTGGATGGTTGAAGCGACAGCCTAGTTTTGGAAACATGGGTGTTTATATGTATTTAGGCTCCTTCCGAAATAGCCCAGCGAGCAGTTTTTTCAATATGAATAAAGTGATTGTGGTAATTAGACCAAGGCGACTGGAGAGTTCGATTCTACATGTTGTCGCATTCTCACATAACCTGAGTCTATTTGGTAGTTTATGCCACAGAGAGATAAATCTAATCAGGAAGAAATTACAAGGAATGATCGTTCTGGCCTTTGGCATATTCCGTGTACAATCTTTATTGCAAAGCTCCCGATTTGAGTTATGTTATAGTTCAAAGGTAGACAGAGTGGGATATGTCATTTTGTGTAGCAGGTTGTAAAGCAGCAAAACATTATGCTTCAATCGTCGAATTCAAAGTGGTTCGAGTTGAAGCTCATTGCCACGTTCTCGATAACTCATTGCAGAGTTCTTACAAATCAGAATTATGGTGCACGACCTCTACAGGTGTTCCACAGCAATTCCATCACCTCCTCATATTGCCGTATATTATGCTGCGGTATTCTAGGATAGGGGGGTGTGTAATTTGAAAAGATCAGCTGTAGCATGGGCCGTGTAGATTTTGTTGAATAGAATGCTACTAAGTGTTGGGTCTGTTCGGAGAAAAAATTGAGATAGATGAGAACCTGATACTGAGATCACGCGTAGAAAACTGTGTAGGGACGTGTTCATTGTTCAGTACGATAGATCCTTCGGGAATAGAATAGCCGTGAGACATGATTCTGGATTTTCTAGCCGAGATAGACTGTAGGTCATCTTGAATGGGCGGTAGCGTTCCATGAAGCTCGTCAAGACAAAAATGATGGGTGATCTTGATATCGTCAAGGAATAAACATAACCGCCATGTTTTACAAACAGAGTGATGTCATTGAGGTACAGCAGTAAATGTGAAGGACCGAGCACGCTAGTGATAGGACGCGAAGAAGAGCCATAGTTACCTAAAGTGACACGCTGATGTCGACCATTCAGGTATGATGATAGCCAACCAAGTAGTGGGTCTCCGATCGCAAAACGCCCCAACTTTTGTAACAACCGCTTGTGAGGCACTCGTTCGAATGTTCAGTTCATAACCAAAAAACGGAATTACTACTGCATAGCCCGAATCGATAGATGCTGAAATGTTTTTCAAGTAATGCCATTAGTAGGTGTTGCACGATTACTTCGCGAGAAAACCATACTGTGAATTATTTATTAGGCCCAATGAATCCACAGATTTTACCACCATCTGACCAGTTTTTCGAACAACCGAGTGATTATTGAAGTCAATTGTTTGCTTTGGAACTCTCTTGTAACGATGTTTTCCACTGTTATAGAAAGTGACAAGATTCCAGCGATACGGTGAACATGCTAATCAGGAGGAGTGGTAGATAAGGTCCTAATTTCATGCTGGTTAGTGAAATGCCATCACGTTCCAGCTTGAAGGATAACCTACCTGCGTGATACCTTGGTGGATACCGTTGAGCGAGATATCGACTCTTCTTATTAGATTTGTTACGGTAACCTCGGTATACACAAGCATGTGGTCAGCTGCGAGACTCATCGCCGAATGCTTCACAAATTGCAGCTGGATCATGAAGTACGTGGCCCACATCGCCCACAAGTTTAGTAATCAGAGGAGAGCGGTCACTGGTTCTACGACGCAGTATTTTGAAAAGCTCCCTTGACTTGCAGTTTGTTCTTCATTCTTTCGCCGCATTAACTGTGCGCGCATTTTAAGTTAAGTGAAAAATCATAAGTGTTTTGTATTTTGCGGCTACTTTCCTAAATTCCTGGTTGACGTTCGGCGACATCTTTGCAGACGTGAGGGATGCGCTCACATTGTGGAGCAAAGAGAGCTATACTGTGGTGGATCAGATTACAAAACTTCTCCACAGTAGTGTACGCAATGGTACAGTGGAATTATGGTCACTGACAGGGAGACTGTCTAAGATCTCAGTCTGTGGGTTGTGTATTTTCCCTGTGAATATTAAGTCCAATACATCAAGGGACTCGGTTGGACTGGAAACCCATTGTGTTCAGTCCACTGCTCTGATGGAAGAAAGAAAGGTTGCTTGCTAAGTTAACGTTGGGTCGGATGACCAGCATATTTGTGGTAAGCTGTAATCATAGGCAATCATCTCCTGGTTGTGTGGCAACACTGATGCAATGTCTACTGCAGTAATGCTGTTGGTGATACTCACGTTAGGGGTATTTGGTGGGTTGTAGCTGAAGGCGAGCAGTATGTAAGAGGAGGAACCTGCAACTGACAGCCAAATGGATTTATGGACATTTTCCAATTGTGAATAGTCTCTACGTTCAGTTAGAAATGTTTTGTGTACGTATATGATACACCTTCCATCTTTTCTGGTGCAGTGATCCTTCCGAACACAGGTGGTAGTTTGGAATCATCAGAGTAGAATCAAGTGTATTGGAGGAACAACATGTTTCAGTAAGGATTATCGACTAAGGGCAAGTGAATTGTTCGTGTGCTTATAAAATGAAATTTGTTGATTATGGCTCTGTATTAAGCAGAATCACTGAAAATATACTTTGCATTGGGGAATTAGCGCTGTCTTTTGCATGATCGCCTGAGTACTTAAGTTTGAGCATAAGGCAGATGGTAGGTAAGTGCGAGAATGGTGTGTTCGATTTATACCCATAGGAAGGTTTTTTTGTCATGGGCAGCGTGTCATGTGTGAATGGAGAGACAGCTGGGGGTACAAACGGAGGCATCATGTTTAGACTGCCGTTAGCTTGGCAGTAAATTAGCTTTTCACCCGGAAAAATTAGAGGAAATGTAGGATAAAATTGATGACCACTACAGTATGTATCTGAGATGGGAACGGGTGGGATTCCGTTCCCGCCACCGCTAAAAAGGGTTGTTGGAAGAAGCCGCTTGTGAGCTTGAATGAACATGAAGCGGAGCAATTGGTAACACTGTCCTATTGGCCGAACTCCTTCCGTTATCGATACGCTACCAGTGATTGTTGTGGAGTGTAAAATGATAAATAGGCGTAGCCAAGAGTTGTTATTGGTCTTATACAGCAGTGAACGTTCTTTTCCTTCATGATTGTAGGAAGCTGATCGATAGGGAACTTTAGATGGAACCGAGTAGTTAGTAGTCATATGCCTTTTGAAGTCAATGGTCTCTAGATTGCTTAAGCCGTTTGTGGGCGACAACGAACTTTGCATTACATCGGGATGTCCATCTTTGGATGGGACTGGGTCACTGAGACCGGTGTGATATAGTCAAGGAGTTGTCATTGCACCACTGTTTCGAGCAACGACTTTTCTTTGATCCTTATATGTGAGGAATTTAATCTAATGAGAGTGCCGTTGTCAGGAATAGGAATAAACGCTTGCTCATATACATTCATATCTTATAATATTTAACTCGTAGTGATAGCATAAAAGGCTGAAAATGTACCTTCCTGAGGGCATAAATCCTACCTGGACTTGACTTGAATCGAATAATATGAGTAGTTCTGAAAGGTTACTTAGCTGGGTAGCAGACTAGAGTGACTCTGCAAGCAAACTATCAAAGGAAGTTACATGCATCAAAAAATGAACAATCAATACATATCACCGGACTCACTGGTGGCGAATTGAGCTGCGTACGATGATTGAGCTGTTGCTTAGTAGTCCGCTACTTAGGCTACATCGCTGAGCAAGAGATGCCTGGATTTTAGCTACAGTGCAGAGCAACTCCTCACCTACTGCTATGATAATTAAGGCCACTGCAGAAGAATGAGTTGGATTGTGAAGCAAAATAGGACTCAACCAACCAAACAGTGATTTTGGTGCATTTTGTTGTTAGATCCACTGAATAACAACCATCCGTGCAATAAGAAGAAACTAATCCAAGTGTACTGACTAATTCCAACGGGGTGGTGATATTAAAATTCGTGGCACAAGGGATCCGCACGGTGGCGAAGACCTTGATACTACAAAGGATACGGATGCACACAATAGCAGGGATTTCGATTGGAGCATATGAAGTCTGTGGAGAAAGAATGTGTGAATTCACTCTCACTACATATAGTTTCATTCGATGCACCTGGTGAGGCGTCTGTGCATATTTTCCCTGAACCCAAGGATCCTTTGCAAGGAGACGAAGCGCATACATACTGCTATATCGTCCATGGTCAGCAGCACCCAAACAAATCCACCAGGCAGTCTAGTGAGTTACTAGGTGCTGTGTCGTCTAACGGCAAATGAAAGTCTTACTGTTCATCGGTTCCACTAGACACAAGCGAGGAGTTGCTGTCATCACCGGTCGAACACAACAGCTCAATTAATATCTTCGGGGCAAAGTGAACATGTTTTAAAATTCGAACAATGCTGTGCGTCACGACATCGACTGTACCAATGTCATTACACCTTTGCCATAAGTAACGATGAATTTGAAGTGCCATATCAATATGTGCATTGTGGCGCTGTGTGATTCAGCCCACCAGATAGACGAAACGACCGGTAGCCTGCAATGCTGGGCCTATGCCAGCATGAACCGTGAGACGGACAGCCCAATTCGGAAGCTGTACTCCAGCCGCTGAGCATGTGAAGCGCTCGTCAACACACATCGAGTATTGGGCCAGCCTCTTTAGTATGGCCACATCACATTAACCGTGCCATGTCATTTGTGGACGTTAAATGTATAAGTGAATTACTGGACATAAGATATGCTTTGGAAAGTGCGTATCAGGACAAGACTAGTACCTCCGTGTCATATGGATCGCAGAATAACAGCAAAAGTAAGAAACAGGGTAGCAGTGATTTTTGCTTATTTGATGACATGAACACGGAAGGCAAATTCTCATGAAATCTTACATTACCCCAAACAGATTGTTGTTGAGATTTCTTTCCAAGCACTTAAGGAGAGATATTGAAACAAAGTGTATTAAAGGTTGTTTTCAATTCAAGAAAGATGAGCAAAAAAAGCTGCTTTTGTAACTGACCATGTTCAAGAATGAGATAACTGGCAAAAAGGAGGTCAATCCACCCGATATAAGGATGGGGATTATCGGAATCCCACGAGTATCAGTAGTTTACCACAATGCTCCAGAGCACTGCACAAATAACATCCAAGTTGGAAGTTGGTGACGCAAATAAAAATTAGGAAAAGCAGTAGACCCGCCAACTATGTGTTGCTGTTTAGCTAAACATTCGATGGCATTCAAATATCATTTGCTGTGTGCATAACACTCATGTGAACCGTTTAGAGGTGTGTCCAGTTTGTGTCCCAGTGAACGAAGGGTTCAGGAAACAATGTTTCATCGAAAATTTAATGGTCCATAAGTTCTCTTTAAATGTAAGAGGCCATCATACACCGAGGATTTGTCTTACTGTTTCCGGAGACTTACTCGATCTCCTGAGAAGCCGACAAATTCCAATAGCTTCAGTACTCTCTTCGGCAACATAGAGATCATCTGAGAGAGAAAAAGAAAATGGTTGAGCAAGCCTACGATGAATTATGAATTATGACCGAAGTATGAATTAGGAACAAAGAGCTGGTGTTGGTGAACAGCAGTGGGTTACAGAATGGCATTTCTCACTAGTAATTGCACTATAGCACACCATAGTCTTCGCTTCCATGAATCATAATGAGTCAGGCTGTCGTATATCTCGACGTTTAGGCACTCTTTACCCTTGCTTCCTCGTACTGTGGAAGCCTACTATAGTAGGTATGTGCCAAATGATCGTCATTTTAGGCGATCGAATGTAAGTACTTTACTGCCCTCCTAAGCATTCTCAGATGAACTCTCAGAGAATCACAGTCACACCGGAACAACAAGCCAGCATAAGAATAACGCCCATGGTGCTAGTTCTGTGACAAGAGGTGTAGGGGGAGCCTAGTGAATTAGTGTTAACGGCTATGCTTGCCAGCAACTGCCTTTCAGACTTCATTTGTAGCTCCGTCTATATCTAAACTATGAGTTAACATGTATCGCTGGAGGGATCACATCGATTATTTGCATAAGACTAATTAGAAGTTTGAAGAAGGAGCCTAAATGACGTTGACTAGCATGGACCACAACGGAAAGCCATTCGGAGATCAAAAACCATGCTTATATCAGCTGCGTTGCAACAAACGTTTAATGCTTTTAACTTTCTCCGATCAACGTTTGAGTTTGTGCCAAGGTTCAGAAATGCCTACCACCGGCAGAGGGAGCAATGGAACGGGAAGCAAGTGGACAAAACGTGTTCCCATAGACAACACGGTCCAGGAGTGGTCAGAAAGGAATATCAATCGAACATGGCCGAAAAGTACATAGACATGCGAACGAAGCGGAAGTGATGCCATCATGGTCATGGTACTCGACAGTCGATAGATAATTGCCTAAGATAATTGGCATCATCACGTCATTCCGAGTCACGTTGAAGGTGGGAAACATAATGACTGTGTTGGGATAAGGCCAATCAAGTTTTCCTGTTGTCGATGGGGATAGAACGACGGGGTAGTTCAACTTGTCAGTCCCATTCAGGTTCCCCAGGAAAACTATCTGCGTATGGTACAGAGATATTTCAGGAAAACAAAGAACTCAGAAGCTGTGACTACAAAATAATCTAGGCATTTCATAGCATGGATTTGGTGCTAAGCGTTAATACTATAGCAATCCAAAAGCTAAAATAAAGTGCTTAATGAACTGGATGCTACCGAATTTCATATTGCTTGGGAGGTTGCGCGTTCATTTAGAAGATTTAACAAAAATATTAGAAAACACGATGCAGGATAGTGCATCATAACCATGAATGTTTGGGGACGACAATGAATTTCATCATATCTGAAAAATAATTCTCCCATCAGAGGCTGAGGGACAGTGCGGATTCCCCGGAGTACTATGAGACAGTTTAAACCGTGATCCGACACTTCGAAACAAGGGGCATTGCTAAATGGTCTAGGAGAAGAAACGGCCGAATTAGAGCAATACTAATAATATTCAGTTAACAATAATGGTAATAGCGATAATGGTAATAATAACGAGTATATTGCTCATGACCTAGGAAACTGTGTCGTACCGTCGCAGATTAATATATACAGGAACGTGGGGGATACGCATATGTGCAATCCTGAAGCATGCGATTCATGTAAAGCGATTTAGTGATCTACAGTGACGAAGGCCAAGGTATGGAAACATGGGTGAGTAGAACTTTATAGAACCTGCTGAAAATAGCTCACTGGAGGTTTTTCCCATCTAAATACACCCATTATTGTAGTCAGGCTAAGGTAACTTGCGAGTTCATTACTAGATGTTGCGACATTTTCCCGTGATCTGAGTGTGAATGGCAGTTTAGTCCATGTAAAAGTATATCTGACCAGCAAGAGATTGGTTCCCATCTTTGTTCTGACCTTTGGTACAGCCAGTGTATGATCTCTGTTGCGAAGCTCTCGAATTGAGCTAAGTCGCAGTTCAAGTGTAGGCAGATCGGAATAGTTTGTCTTCTGTAAGAGGTTTTAAAGTAACAACAAGTTATGCTTCAGTCGTCGCATCCAAAGTGGTTCCAGTTGAAGTTCGTTACAAAGCTCCCGATAATTAATGGCAGAGTGCTTACCAATCTTATGTTTAGTAAACGACTTATGCAGTTGTTCCACAGTAATGCTGTCACTGTTTCTCTTATCACCGTATGTTATGCTGCAGTATTCTAGGATAGGGAGGGTAAGTAAGTTATAAAGCTCATACCTCGCATGGGTTGTGTGTATTTTGGGGATATATTGAACATAGATTGTCTGGCACATGCTTGGTATTGGGCCTGTTCGGAGAAATTGAAGGTAGATATGAACCTACTTCGGATATCACGCATCGATAACTGTGTAGGCAGGTGCTTGTATCTTAGTGCGTTAGATAATTCGGCATTGGAGCAGTCGTAAGACATAATGCTAGATATTTTAGTAAAAAGCATTGTTATCCATCAGCAGTACGATGCCTGAAGGCAATACATGCCATCTTGAATGTCCCAGTGTTACGTCCAGTTCGTCAAGTCAAAACTAAAAGGCGATTGGATATCGTCAAGGAATAAAAATAATTGACGCTGTTTTATGAACGAGGTGATGTCATTGATGTAAAGCAGGAAATGTAAAGGACCGACCACGCTCACTTGAATGGCCCACAAGTGATAGGGGGTGGTGGACAGCGATAGCGACCTGAAGTGACTACCTGGCGGCGACCAAACAGGTATGACGATAGCCAACCTAGTAATAAGTTCCGGATGTTAAAGGCATCTAAAATGATAAACTAATCGACTGCGCTGTGCACCACATACACACCATCACATGCAATTTACGGAGGCGGAGCGGCGACTTTACTGAGCGAAAACCGCCAAGTATTTTACACCCGAAGGAAGAGAAAACCAGTCCTAGGGTGCAGCTTTAAGAGGGAGCGAGACAGGAATTCTCAGCTACTAAATGTTTAATCGGATGCTGCTGACTGACCGACTGATTTTAGTTCAGTTCTTCTTGCACTACTCTGTCATCCAAGATATCCGTTTGTAGTTCGGCTTCCATTGCTTCCAGAATGATGTGTGGATAAAGAACTCGGACAGCGCGGTTCAGTAACTCTCCGAAATGTATGTACCTCAAAAAGTCGCATAGGTTGCACTTCTTTCAAATAATCTCTATTATTATATCTTTGTGTAACCTTCTCCTACGCAGTTTCAATCATCCGTGTCATCACATGGTACGTATGCGGATCGAATTTCCGTCGCATCGATTGCAACGCACAGCACAGCAGCAAACGATAAACCATATCGATCTACATAAGGAGGTTAGGCACCAGCTACTCAATGCATCGCACAGGCTGTGACCACGCGAAAGCGCATTTCGACAGCCAACATGTACTCGACACGTGTTTCTTAGTGGTCACATTTTTACTAGTCGTAGAAAGAGTGAGAAAGAAACAGAAAGACCGATTACATGTCAACAAATGTCGATGTTCAAGTTTTTATCGTTGTTTCCATCTGTCTGTTAAGGCATCTACAAGATAAACTCACGCAAATGGCAAGGGACACGATTGCACGGTCTTCACAGGAAATCAGATAACTGAAGACTGAACTGTCGTTTTTGTAGCAAACGTTTCACCAGCGATCAAGACGACGAGTTAGCAGTATACAAAGTGGAATTTTCGCTTTCGTTTCCAAAGCGAGTCAGATAAATAAGACAGAGTGAAGTGATCCAAGCTGTGAGAACTTTACGGGTGATATGCATCAAAATGTTTTCTGGATTCATCCGCCGAAATGGCTAATCGGTCATCCATCGATTAGTTGCCTCTCATGTGGATAGGATATATCATTGAGTCCTATATATATATATATATATATATATATATATATATATATATATATATATATATATATATATATATATATATATATATATATGGTTGGCGGCATCCGGTTTCGGATTTGCGTGTCACCGTGGCCAGCCACAGGACGCCTGCGCCTATAGAGGGACCATGGTTAGCTAACGCTTCATCACCCACAGCTCCATCCACACACCCCATATCCTGTGTAAACCCGAAGGAATAAGATCGGGAGGCATGTGGATGGGAGCCAAGTTTCATCAACGGAGCCAGCCCACACTCCTTCACAGGCAAAAACAAGCACACTGTATTTGGGGAATCATGCGCATACAACGCACTTACTGGACCGTAGTCCGCTCCACTAGGATTGCATGGAACTACACTTCGAGTCTAGCACGCACCGGGTAGCCCATTCCCTCCAGCAACGACCCACTGTCTCCTGGAGTCAGCATAGATGAGGCAGTGGGTAATAGACAGGTAGGCACCTTGTCAACATGCATATCAAGCGTAGCCACACCGGAAGTATCAAATAACAGTCAATCACTTGAAACGACGGGAATAAATAAAACAAAACGAGTAATTCATATAGATAAGGTGAAATAACTCTTTAATAAATGAGCATATGAAATAAATATGTTGCCGAAAAAAATCCGCTATAGGTTCAAGACGTCAGAAAATATCACAAACGCGAAAATGTTATCAAAGTTAAATGGAATCAACGAGCGGTGTGCGCAAGTTAAAAAAGGTAGTTCACGTAAACATTAATGAGACAATATACCAAAGCAACCACTTAAAATATAGAGACCCAGCATGCAAGTAGGCGGTTAGTAAATCGAGTGCAGCATACCTACAAACGCTGTGTCGGTTCTGCCTACCGCATTTGCAGAACCCCTCGTCGTTTCGGTAGTGGTCCCGAGTGACCTCGTTAATGAATTATTAGGCCTGCCTGACTCAGGCACTCCCGACCGCATGTGCTACAGCACCATGCGCTTGATGTCGAGGGAGTACAACCCATCGGCGCTTGCCACTTTCGCATCTGATGCTTCTTCTCCGCATGCATGAGGACTTACTCCTGCACCTCGGCAACTGCCTTCGTGATCAGATCGTGCCATGCACGCCAATCAACCGCCTTCG